TATGTTTGTTTTTTAAGGCTGAAATTTTGAACACAGAGCTTTAAAAATAAATGTGCCACCTCTGTACAACTTTCACTGCTGCTCATAAAGGCAACTGTGGTCTCTAGCCCCTACCGAGTGAGAAGACAGGCTAAGCTCTGTGGGCTTTATTTAGGTAATAGCCTTCAATCTTTTATGTTCCCTTGTTAAAAGCCATAAAAGTATGGCATGCAACAGAGATAAGGCTGTCCTGCATCACCTCATATATTTTCAAACATAATGGTAAGAATATTTAAGCTCTTCAAAACAAGTGAAAGAACCATGAAAACAGAAATACAGAGTGCATCCCAAATCTGAAGCACAACAACAGTGTTGTCTGAGAATAGTGAGAATAGTTCAAAGTCATATTACAGTATATGACATTTAGAAATTTAAAATCATATGGCATTATTTTGTTGTGGTCTAAAATTTTAATTCTCTATTTTTCCTGTATGCATTTTAATAGTCCTTACTGTATGATTTACAGACATGCCAAGACTTAAATCTTGCTACAAATACAGAACCACAGAATGGTGGAGGTTGGAAGGGACCTCTGGAGATCATCTAGTCCAGCCTCCCTGCTCCAGCAGGGACACCTAGAGCACAGGGTGGCATCCAGGGGCGTTTGGAAGATCTGCACAGACGGAGACTCCACAATCTCTCTGGGCAGTCTGTTCCAGGGTTCTGTCACCCTCACAGGGAAGAAGTTTGTCCCCACATGGAGATGGAACTTCCTTGTGTTTTAATTTGTACCATTACCCCTTGTCCTGTCGCTGGCCACCACCAAGAAGAGTTTCACTTCATCCTCTTCACATTCTCCCCTCAAGTATTTATACACGTTGATCAGATCTCCTCTCAGTCTTCTCTTCTCCAGGTTAAACAGGCCCAGCTAGTCTTCCCTCACACAATAGATGCTCCAGGCCCTTAATCATCTTTGTGGCTCTCCACTGGACCCTCTCTAGAAGCTCAATGTCCCTCCTGTCCTGGGGAGCCCAGAACTGCACCCAATACTCCAGGTGTGGCCTCACCAGAGCTGAGCAGAGGGGCAGGATTCCCTCCCTGTGGATAGGGGTACTTGGTAGGGTGAGATGGGAGAATAAGGATTTCTCCTGCCATCTTGAGCCTGGACTATTTTCCATTCGTTCCTGTCCTGGTATCTTCTGCCTTGTGTCGGCTCAGGGATGGATTCTGTGCTGCTGTTGCTGGGGACTTCCAAGTGCCTGCTCATGTTTTTCAGAGGTCAGATCCTGGCACCACCAGTCTCTCTCCCTCTCTGACTTCCAGATGCTCCTCAGCTTTTCCGCCTCCTCTCACAGTTCAGCCACCTGCTCACATCTCACACAATTGCTGTCCCTACAGCTGTCCAAAAGAGCTATCAAGCTTTGGCACTCCCTGCATCCAGACACCTGGACGGCTGCGTGCTGTTCTAGATGGTCAGTCCAGCTCCCTGCCTCCTTTTTGGCAAGTGCAGACACAGCCCTTGGATAAGTATTCGCCCTAGCGCGGCTCTCCCAGCAGCTCACGACCGCACCAACGGCTGCACCAACGGCCGCGCCCCCTCTGCTCGTCGCA